GGGGTCCCTGCCCGGAGCTCTGGATCTCCGAGTCGGGCAGAGGCCGGAGGCACTCGGCCCTAGGGAACCGGGGGAAGCAAAATACCCGGCCAAAACCTAAGTCGATTTTGGGTTACCAGTGGCTCGGTTCTTTCGGCGCGCGGGCTGGCTGGGACAGTAATGCCCGGGCTTAAGTGTGGGACCCCCGGGTTCGGCCGGTGCTCGGGTGAGGGTGGAGGCCAGGGCTTTGCTGTAGCTCTGGTTCTCCGAGTCGGGCAGAGGGGTGTACGGCGGTGGGGGTCCCTGCCCAGGGCTCTGGTTCTCCGAGTCGGGCAGAGGGGTGTACGGCGGTGGGGGTCCCTGCCCAGGGCTCTGGTTCTCCGAGTCGGGCAGGAGGGTGTACGGCGGTGGGGGTCCCTGCCCAGGGCTCTGGTTCTCCGAGTCGGGCAGGAGGGGGTACGGCGGTGGGGGTCCCTGCCCAGGGCTCTGGTTCTCCGAGTCGGGCAGGAGGGGGTACGGCGATGGGGGTCCCTGCCCAGGGCTCTGGTTCTCCGAGTCGGGCAGGAGGTGGTCCAGGCGGGTGCCCCCTGGTCCCCCGACGTGTTAGGGGGCAAGCGGTGGGTCTCCCCCAAGCCCAAAGCCCCGGTTCCCAGAGTCGGGTAAACTGCGGGAGTAACTTTGACTCTCTTAAGGTAGGCAGGAACCGGTGTGAGTGGTGTGGAAAGCCGAGTTGGGGCTCCATGTTCTGGGCACAGGTGGATCTCCTAGTGGTCCACCCCAGGCCCAGAGTGTGGAGCCCCAACTCGGCTTATTTTTTTTTTTTAAATTATTATTATTATTATTATTTTTTTTTTTTATCTTATTTTATTTTATTTTTTCAATTTTTCGGGATGCACCGGGTAGAAGTTCAAACTTCAACCGCCGTGGGGGTCCCCTGGCCAGAGCTCTGGTTCTCCGAGTCGGGCAGGAGGTGGTCCAGGCGGGTGCCCCCTGGTCCCCCCGACGTGTTAGGGGGCGAGCGGTGGGTCTCCCCCAAGCCCAAAGCCCCGGTTCCCAGAGTCGGGTAAACTGCGGGAGTAACTTTGACTCTCTTAAGGTAGGCAGGAACCGGTGTGAGTGGTGTGGAAAGCCGAGTTGGGGCTCCACGCTCTGGGCACAGGGGGATCTCCTAGTGGTCCACCCCAGGCCCAGAGTGTGGAGCCCCAACTCGGCTTATTTTTTTTAAAATTATTATTATTATTATTATTATTATTATCTTATTTTATTTTATTTTTTCAATTTTTCGGGATGCACCGGGTAGAAGTTCAAACTTCAACCGCCGTGGGGGTCCCTGCCCAGGGCTCTGGTTCTCCGAGTCGGGCAGGAGGGGGTACGGCGGTGGGGGTCCCTGCCCAGGGCTCTGGTTCTCCGAGTCGGGCAGGAGGGGGTACGGCGGTGGGGGTCCCTGCCCAGGGCTCTGGTTCTCCGAGTCGGGCAGGAGGGGGTACGGCGGTGGGGGTCCCTGCCGAGAGCTCTGGTTCTCCGAGTCGGGCAGGAGGTGGTCCAGGCGGGTGCCCCCTGGTCCCCCCGACGTGTTAGGGGGCGAGCGGTGGGTCTCCCCCAAGCCCAAAGCCCCGGTTCCCAGAGTCGGGTAAACTGCGGGAGTAACTTTGACTCTCTTAAGGTAGGCAGGAACCGGTGTGAGTGGTGTGGAAAGCCGAGTTGGGGCTCCATGCTCTGGGCACAGGGGGATCTCCTAGTGGTCCACCCCAGGCCCAGAGTGTGGAGCCCCAACTCGGCTTTTTTTTTTTTTTTATTTTTTTTTTTTTATTATCATTTTTATTGTATTTATTTTATTTAATTTTTTCAATTTTTCGGGATGCACCGGGTAGAAGTTCAAACTTCAACCGCCGTGGGGGTCCCTGGCCAGCGTTCTGGTTCTCCGAAGTGGGGCTGAGGGGGTCCAGGCGGGTGCCCCCTGGTCCCCCCCGACGTGTTAGGGGGCGAGCGGTGGGTCTCCCCCAAGCCCAAAGCCCCGGTTCCCAGAGTCGGGTAAACTGCGCGACTAACATTGACTCTCTTAAGGTAGTCAGAAACCGGTGTGAGTGGTGTGGAAAGCCGATTCGGGGCTCCACGCTCTGGGCACAGGGGGATCTCCTAGTGGTGCCCCCCAGGCCCAGAGTGTGGAGCCCCAACTCGGCTTATTTTTATTTTTATTATTATTATTTTTTTTTATTTAATTATTATTTTGGGATTATTAGACTGGGTAGAAGTTGCAACTTCAAACGGGCATATCTCTGGAACCAAGCCGAGTTGGGGCCCCATACACCCGGCGTGGGGGGCCCTCCTAGAGGCCCCCAATACCCCCGAGTGTGGAGCCCCAACTCGGCTTACTTTTCGAGCTACAGCCGGTCAAAGTTGAAACTTTAAAGGGCCGTATCTCCGGAACCAAGCCGAGTTGGGGCCCCATACACCCGGCGTGGGGGGCCCTCTTAGAGGCCCCCAATACCCCCGAGTGTGGAGCCCCAACTCGGCTTACTTTTCGAGTTACAGCCGGTCAAAGTTGAAAATTTAAAGGGCCATATCTCCGGAACCAAGCCGAGTTGGGGCCCCATACACCCGGCGTGGGGGGCCCTCCTAGAGGCCCCCAATACCCCCGAGTGTGGAGCCCCAACTCGGCTTACTTTTCGAGCTACAGCCGGTCAAAGTTGAAACTTTAAAGGGCCGTATCTCCGGAACCAAGCCGAGTTGGGGCCCCATACACCCGGCGTGGGGGGCCCTCCTAGAGGCCCCCAATACCCCCGAGTGTGGAGCCCCAACTCGGCTTACTTTTCGAGTTACACCCGGTCAAAGCTGGACAGGAAGTGGCCGTATCTCGGGACCGGAAGGTCCCCGTGGCCCGGGACGGCGGGAGGAGCAAGGTCCCCGAGAGCGGGCCCCGCACCCGCCGCCGCGAGCCGCTGGGACCTCCCGGTCCCGAGATGGGCCCCGTTACGCGCGGGCGACTTTCGGAGAAAACGGCCCGTATCTCGGAGAGGGGAGGTCCCAGCGGCTCGCCCTTTCGGGTGTCGGGGGCTCCCCACGGGCCCTCTCGGACCCCGCCTCCCCCGGGCCCCTGGGACCTTTCCTTCCCAGGCGCCCCCCCGACACGTCGGGCCCCTTTTCTCCGGGACCCGGGGGCCCCGGGGCTCGGGGGCGGGCTCTTTGCGAGGGGCCCGCCGGGACGCCACACTTGACCCGAGTCCGGTGTCTCTGGGCCCCCGGGTCCCCGAGCTACGGGCGTTCGAATTCGGGGCCCGAAAATCCCTCAAAGTCCGAAAACGTGCAGTGGGCGGGGACTTCCGGGGCCCCGGAGGCTCTGACGGCACACCCAGGGAGGTGCACCGTCCTCGGGCACGGCCAGGTGGCCCCCCGGGGTCCTGGAAGTCCCCCCGCCCCCCGGAGACACCCACACCCACACCCACCCACCCACCGGACGGGAAGATTCCGTTTTTCGCCGATATCTCGAAGACGGCCGGGCGAAAAAATTTCAAACTCGGGTCTTCCGTAGGCCTCGAGGGGCCCTATCCAAAGAGGCCACCCGCGTCCCCGGGGGCCTCGGGGTCAGGGAGTTAGGCCCGGTCAAAGGCGCGGCGTTTTTTGGCTTATATCTCGCGAACCCCTGGGCCAATCTTCCCCAAACTCGAATCGACCGTAGTGCCGGACGGGGCCTTTCGAAAGAGCCCACCCACGAGGTCCAACTCGCCCGGGTCCCCGAGTTATAGCCGTTCAAAGTCGGGGGTCCCGGCGAACGGCGATCCGGTAGGGGGCGTCCCCGGGGCCCGCCGCCGCCCTGGTTCGAGCGAGGGCCCCCGTGGGACCTCGCCACCCAAATTTGAGCTCTCTGGGCCTTCGCGTCGCGGAGATACGGGCGATTTTCTCCCGGGATCGTGACGTCATCGGCGGGCGCCATTTCAGAGCGCGGCCGAGGGTTTTCGGCCGATATCTCCGCGAATACTCGACCAAAAACGACGAAACGCATATGGACGCGTTCAGCTCGGCGAGACGGTTCGAATGAGCCCGGCCTCGGCCGGGCACGTCGAGTTCTCGGCGAGATATTTGCGTTTTTCCGCTTCCGGGGCGCTTTGGGGGCCCGTATCTCGGGCCCCCGGGGGCCCACGGGGCTGGGGGCGGTCTCATTCGAAAGGTCTCGTCCCGTTCTCCAGCCGATAAAAATTTGGCGTCGATCGGAGCCGCCTTCGGCGAGCTACGGTCGTTTGAAGCCCCGTGCGGTGGGGTTACCGTCCTTCAAACAGCCGCCGCTCGCAGGGGGAGTCCCGGGGAGGCATGGTTGCCTGTATGACTTGGGCTTAGAGCACCCAGCCCCGCGCTCCTGGAGGAACCTCCGGTGCACAGGGTCTGCTGCAACCAGCCACGTGGGTTTTGAGGGGTAGGGGAGCGTGCGCTCTCCTCCCCGGGCGGGCGGCCGGGCCCTGGGGGCTCGCGCCTCCACGGAGGGACCTCGCTCCCGGGGCTTCGTCCCCGGGGCTCGGGGACTCCGTGGCGGCTCGGCCCCCGGGGTTCGACCCCGCTCGCTCGCTCCAAAACCCAAGTCCAAAACGTGGGGTTGCACGGGAGCTCCGGGCGCAACGGGTCTCCACGCACGGCCCCGGGGAGGGAGCTCCGACCCGGGCCGGAGGCAGATTCGCCCCCCGCCCCCCGGCTGTCCGCCCGGAGCCGAGACGGTCCTAAAACGGGCCTTGGGGGTGATGTAGAAGGGTAACGCTCACCCAACCAGGACTCACACAAACCGATCTGCATCCCAGGCAGGGTGCGGGTCTCCTGGGCACGAATAAAGCCCGATGCCCCGTGGGTGATGTTGGCCCTGGCCACTCAAGGCACTCACCCAAGCCAGAGAGGGTGCACTCTGGCTGGGGAAGCAGATTCAATCTCTGCTGTGGTGGAGCTCTGGAAAAACGCGAAACCTCCAGGAAAAGACGGCCCGATTTCTCTGAAAAGTGCATCCCAGGCAGGGTGCGGGTCTCCTGGGCACGAATAAAGCCCGATGCCCCGTGGGTGATTTTGGCCCTGGCCACTCAAGGCACTCACCCAAGCCAGAGAGGGTGCACTCTGGCTGGGGAAGCAGATTCAATCTCTGCTGTGGTGGAGCTCTGGAAAAACGCGAAACCTCCAGGAAAAGACGGCCCGATTTCTCTGAAAAGTGCATCCCAGGCAGGGTGCGGGTCTCCTGGGCACGAATAAAGCCCGATGCCCCGTGGGTGATTTTGGCCCTGGCCACTCAAGGCACTCACCCAAGCCAGAGAGGGTGCACTCTGGCTGGGGAAGCAGATTCAATCTCTGCTGTGGTGGAGCTCTGGAAAAACGCGAAACCTCCAGGAAAAGACGGCCCGATTTCTCTGAAAAGTGCATCCCAGGCAGGGTGCGGGTCTCATGGGCACGAATAAAGCCCGATGCCCGTGGGTGATGTTGGCCCTGGCCACTCAAGGCACTCACCCAAGCCAGAGAGGGTGCACTCTGGCTGGGGAAGCAGATTCAATCTCTGCTGTGGTGGAGCTCTGGAAAAACGCGAAACCTCCAGGAAAAGACGGCCCGGTTTCTCTGAAAAGTGCATCCCAGGCAGGGTGCGGGTCTCATGGGCACGAATAAAGCCCGATGCCCGTGGGTGATGTTGGCCCTGGCCACTCAAGGCACTCACCCAAGCCAGAGAGGGTGCACTCTGGCTGGGGAAGCAGATTCAATCTCTGCTGTGGTGGAGCTCTGAAAAAAAAAAAACGCGAAACCTCCAGGAAAAGACGGCCCGGTTTCTCTGAAAAGTGCATCCCAGGCAGGGTGCGGGTCTCATGGGCACGAATAAAGCCCGATGCCCGTGGGTGATGTTGGCCCTGGCCACTCAAGGCACTCACCCAAGCCAGAGAGGGTGCACTCTGGCTGGGGAAGCAGATTCAATCTCTGCTGTGGTGGAGCTCTGAAAAAAAAAACGCGAAACCTCCAGGAAAAGACGGCCCGATTTCTCTGAAAAGTGCATCCCAGGCAGAGTGCGGGGTCTCCTGGGCACGAATAAAGCCCGATGCCCACCTTGAAACGGAGCCTGGGCTCGACTCTGAAGTCCAGATCTCGAAAAACGACAGAGTCCAAAAAGGTGCGGTGGCTCCAAACCTCCATGCCCTCAGACCTCCCTGGCCAGCCCAGGGAGGGTGGCCCGTCCTGGGCCAGACTCAGATTTCCCCCGCCACCCCTGGAGCTCCGCCTGGAGCGAAGACGGTCCTAAAACGGACCATGGGGCTCTTGTAGAGGATGAGGGAGGGAGAGAGGGGCCTTCAGAGAGCCCCTTGGCCGGCTTGACTCTGGAGTCGAATTTGGAAAAATAGACAAAGTCCATAAACGTGCTGTTGGTTCGGACCTCCAGGGCACTCAAGGCACTCACCCAAGCCAGAGAGGGTGCACTCTGGCTGGGGAAGAGGATTCAATCTCTGCTGTGGTGGAGCTCTGAAAAACACGAAAACCTCCAGGGAAAAGACGGCCCGGTTTCTCTGAAAAGTGCATCCCAGGCAGGGTGCGGGTCTCCTGGGCAAGAACGAAGCCCGATGCCCACCTTGAAACGGAGCCTGGGCTCGACTCTGAAGCCCAGATCTCGAAAAACGACAAAGTACAAAAAAATGTGGGGTGGCTCCAAAGCTCCATGCCCTCAGACCTCCCTGGCCAGCCCAGGGAGGGTGGCCCGTCCTGGGCCAGATTCAGATTTGCCCGCCACCCCTGGAGCTCCGCCTGGAGCGAAGACGGTCCTAAAACGGGCCTTCGGGGATGTATGAGAGAGGGGAAGCGTGGTGGTGGCAAACACAGAGGACCCCCTACCAGCGATCAGACCGTCGTGAGTCCCACTCAGAGTCACTCTGGGTGGGCATGTAAAAATCCAGATTACGCCGCGCTGGAGCTCTGGAAGTTACGAGACCTCCAGGAAAAGACAGGCTGGTTTTCTGAAAAGTGCACCCCAGGCAGGGTGCATCTTTTCCTGGGCACGAGCCCAGCGCACATGGTGTGGTGGTCCGGCTCTGGTGCCAAAGTTTGGGGGAAAAAATAGACAGAGTCCAATAACGTGGTGTGGTTCCAAAGCTCCATGCCCTCAGACCTCCCTGGCCAGCCCAGGGAGGGTGGCCCGTCCTGGGCCAGATTCAGATTTGCCCGCCACCCCTGGAGCTCCACCTGGAGCGAAGACGGTCCTAAAACGGGCCTTCGGGGATGTATGAGAGAGGGGAAGCGTGGTGGTGGCAAACACAGAGGACCCCTACCAGCGATCAGACCGTCGTGAGTCCCACTCAGACTCACTCTGGGTGGGCATATAAAATCCAGACTACGCCCCGTCGGAGCTCTGGAAGTACGAGACCTCCAGGAAAAGACAGGCTGGTTTTCTGAAAAGTGCACCCCAGGCAGGGTGCATCTTTCCTGGGCACGAGCCCGGCGCACGTGGCGGGGTCCGGCTCTGGTGCCAAAAAAATTGAGAAAAATCGACTAAGTCCAATGGCGTGTCGTGGGTTCAAAGCCCCATGGTCTCAGACCTCCCTGGCCAGCCCAGGGAGGGTGGCCCGTCCTGGGCCAGAGTCAGATTCGCCCGACACCCCCTGGAGCTCGACCTGGAGGGAAGACGGTCCTAAAACGGGCCTTCGGGGCTGTATGGAAGAGGGCAAGTGTGGTGGTGCAAAACACAGAGCACCCCCCCTACCATTGATCAGACCGTCGTGAGTCCCACTCAGACTCGCTCTGGGTGGGCATATAAAATCCAGACTACGCCCCGTCGGAGCTCTGGAAGTACGAGACCTCCAGGAAAAGACAGGCCGGTTTTATGTAAAGTGCACCCCAGGCAGGGTGCGTCTTTCCTGGGCACGAGCCCGGCGCACGTGGCGGGGTCCGGCTCTGGTGCCAAAAAAATTGAGAAAAATCGACTAAGTCCAATGGCGTGACGTGGGTTCAAAGCTCCATGGTCTCAGACCTCCCTGGCCAGCCCAGGGAGGGTGGCCCGTCCTGGGCCAGAGTCAGATTCGCCCGACACCCCCTGGAGCTCGACCTGGAGGGAAGACGGTCCTAAAACGGGCCTTCGGGGCTGTATGGAAGAGGGCAAGTGTGGTGGTGCAAAACACAGAGCACCCCCTACCATTGATCAGACCGTCGTGAGTCCCACTCAGACTCGCTCTGGGTGGGCATATAAAATCCAGACTACGCCCCGTCGGAGCTCTGGAAGTACGAGACCTCCAGGAAAAGACAGGCCGGTTTTATGTAAAGTGCACCCCAGGCAGGGTGCGTCTTTCCTGGGCACGAGCCCGGCGCACATGGCGGGGTCCGGCTCTGGTGCCAAAAATTTGAGAAAAATCGACTAAGTCCAATGACGTGGTGTGGTTCCAAAGCTCCATGCCCTCAGACCTCCCTGGCCAGCCCAGGGAGGGTGGCCCGTCCTGGGCCAGAGTCAGATTCGCCCGACACCCCCTGGAGCTCCACCTGGAGGGAAGACGGTCCTAAAACGGGCCTTCGGGGCTGTATGGAAGAGGGCAAGTGTGGTGGTGCAAAACACAGAGCACCCCCTACCATTGATCAGACCGTCGTGAGTCCCACTCAGACTCGCTCTGGGTGGGCATATAAAATCCAGACTGCGCCCCCGTCGGAGCTCTGGAAGTACGAGACCTCCAGGAAAAGACGGGCTGGTTTTATGGAAAAAGTGCACCCCAGGCATATGCTTGTCGAACGGTCGGTCTGGGTAAACGGCGAGTGTCCGTGCTGTTGCGTGCGAACGAGATTCCCAATGCTAACGAACCTCCCCCGGCTGGCGACCGGGGAGAGCGCCTCGTTTTCGGGCACGAGCGAATGCGTCTGCCTGGCGGAGCCCCCGTCGGTGCCGAGGTGGTCCTGAGACGGGCCTTCGGGGTTTTGTCGAGGAAGGGGACAAGCGCCCCAATCGGACAAGGCGACGGGCTAAAAAATGGTGCTCGGTATCGGTTTCTGACATCCAGGGGGGGGATGCGTCATCTGGGGTCGGCAGGCAGGCGGTAACCAGGGCGCTCTGGAGGAAAAGGCCCCCCTCTGGAAAAAAAGGACAGAGTCCGTAAACGTGAAGTCGAAAGAGTTCCCCAGGGCCGGCCCGTCTCCATGGCCGGTGACCTGGGTGGGTGCCTCGGACCCGGGGCGAGACGGTATCGGTGGGCGTGAACGGAGCACCCGTCGGTGCCGAGACGGTCCTAAAACGGGCCTTCGGGGTTTTGTCGAGGAAGGGGACGAGAGCCCCGCTCGGACAAGGTGACGGACCAAAAAAAAAAAAGCGTTGCTCGGTATCGGTTTCCGACATCCTGGGGAGGATGCGTCGTCTGGGGTCGGCAGGCAGGCGGTAACCAGGGCGCTCTGGAGGAAAAGGCCCCCCTCCGGAAAAAAGGGACAGAGTCCCTAAACGTGAAGTCGAAAGAGTTTACCAGGACGGCCCGCCTCCCGGGCCGGTCACCCGGGAGGGCGCTTCGTGCCCGGGGCGAGACGGTATCGGTGGGCGCGGCGGAGCTTCCGTCGGTGCCAAGACGGTCCTAAAACGGGCCTTCGGGGTTTTGTCGAGGAGGGGACAAACGCCCCGCTCGGACAAGGTAACGGATCTCCGTGTGACGGGCGCCTCCGGGTTGCCCACCCCCGGGGCCCGAGAGGAGCGCACCCCCTCCTCCCGGGCCGTCGACGCGAGGGGTGTTTAGCCTGATCGATTGGAACTTCGGACGCGCCTGGGGACGGCCCCTGCCCGGTCGAGAGACCGCTATGGGCAGCTCGCTCCTCCCCGCTCTGCGCGTCGACTCTAGACGCGGCCTCCCTCCGGGGAAAGCAGGCCGCGTCGACCTCGGGAGACTCAGAAGACCCGTCTGAAACGAACGTCCGCCACGGCGGGCGGAGGACGCGGTCGCGTCGGTCGGATCGGACGGCGAGCGGATCGGGGGGCTCGACACATCCCCCCACCCTCCCAGTCTTCGAGCCGGCTCTTCGCACCCGCGCCTCCCCCGCCCGAAAGGCACCCTTTCCCGGTTACGGC